GTGCTATCTGTCTCAGACTTCGTTTTCCTGAATATCTTCCAATGTAGCACCACTGCCAGTGCTGTCTCTAGTGAGACGGCTCGTTGATATAACGTTGCCACTAAACCTGGCTGTTGACGGCTCCAGAGCACCCAACGTCATATCTCCGCCGTCTACCTCACCTAGAGTTCGTCTCCTAGACATTCTACTTGTGACAGGTGCAGATGTTGCAGGTCTAGTAGTGTGACTTACTGATCTGGCAGTCCGCTCATATTGACTGATCGTGGATAACCTCCGACCTTCAACGACAGACACTCTGGATATAACTGTTGTTACTGACTTTCTACCTTCATTAACCATTTTCTTAGCTCTTCTCATGAGATCAAACCCATTGTAGATAATAGGGTTCAATACACTGTTAATTGGTATAAAGATAATGGAGAAGAAGTCGTAGTAAGGACTGGCGTTGATAATGTGTGTAGCATGTAGTATGCAAATCACACAGAACGGGATCCAACAGAAGAAATCTGTTGCTATAATCAGAGCTATCTTCTTCTGGAGAGCTTCCATCTGGGGGCGCTTACCCTCGCAGTCAGACACCCCACTTCTCCTTACAGACAAGAGAATAATCATGTAAGACAAGGCAATCAGCACGAAGCAAAGGAAGTTGACAGCTACCACTGACATGGAGTAAGCTAGTTGAGTGTTGTCATCGGAGACTATGTACTTGAAGATGCACACTCCGTCACTTCCGTAGAAGTTCAGCAGTCTGCCTGCATCAGATGTGTCGTTGAAGATGTGCCCGTCAAACACTTCCACCACATCCTCCCAATTGTTGATAGTAACGTTAAGAGTGGAAAACTGTTCATTACTCGGGTCAACATAAGACAAGTACTTCTCGTGGATTGCCCTATGCTCGTTTAGAGTTGTTAACCTCTTGAAGAGGGTGTTGTTTTGATAAAATCGTCCGTTGTTGAAGTATTTCCTAAAGATTGGTGACGGTACAATGGGAATCACAGCGATTGTTACCGATAAGATCATTATAAGAACCCCAACAAGGGCTATCTTGAAACGAAACGGGGACGACAAGGACTTTTGGTTAAACGGGAATAAGATGGAGAACGCTCTAAAGCAACCTAAAGCGACCATTGCGAATAATGACACTTGCGTTCCAAAGGTAGACAAGACTCCAAGTAAATCACAATGCTTGGTGGTCAGCCACTGGAACTGTTGAACACAATACCTGTCGGTGTACTTGTAGTGCATCACCACTATGTTCAGGAGATAAACTCCAATACAGAGGTCCCCAAAAGCTATGAGATTAACAAAGCAGTCGTTAGCGAAAGATACTGTGAGAGAGTCCCTGGGTGGTTTAAAGGCCTCGGGGAGCCGATCAATTAGAGTTAGGATGTTAATTAGAGTAGCAGCAGACGCTATAAAAACCGCTACTACACTCATAATATCGCTTGATATGAGTTTCTGGGAGCGAGCACACTCAGAGCCGCACTCATCAGAGGAATCTGAACAGTGGTGATGACCGTCGCAGAGCTGGGAGCGTGGGATGAAGCTGGGGAAACCCTTCCTGCAATGGAAGGTGTTGACACATCCCTCCTCGTCTGAACCATCTCCACAGTCGTCATTCAGGTCACAAACCTGCCCTCTACTGATACACCTAGTGTTGTTGCACTGAAACCCAAAGGTCTCGACAGTGGTTCCACTGATGAACACGTTTTCTAGTCGGTTTGTAAGAGTGTTCAGCGTCTTAACCAAGTTTGATTGGGTGCCCAGAGAGCAGGGAATATTAGAAATGTCGGACAAATGACAATGAGATTCCTCTTCACAGAGCCCGTTGCAAGTCAGTGCAGTGTAAGCTACACCAAAAGTGTTAATACACGGTCGTTTGGTTGATGGTAGTGTGAAAGTAGGTCCATCTTCGTTGTAGTTGTACCCTTCGGCGAGTTCATACCCTTGAGAGGTTCTACATTTGATGAAGGAAGTAGAACTGTCTGATATCAAGCCTGGCAGACATGGCGGGATAAATCTATTTGCTAGAACTAGCTGATTGGGTAGTTTACTTTCTTTAGTAAATGCGCACAACTCAGTTTCTATATTATCTACTGGACAGCTCTCTGCATAATCACACATGTAACTGTAAGGGACTGTGATATTGCTCTGAGGACACTTGAGACCTGTATAACTTGTGCATGAGCTGTGTGTTTCATCACTTCCATCAATGCAGTCCTCGTCTCCATCACAAAGCCATTTGGAAGGAAATCGCATTTTTGAGTTGGGAACCGGGCCGATATATTTCCGCTGACAAATGAAATCTGGGTGAAATACACATTGCTCTTCGTCTCTGCCATCACAATCAGGTATACCGTCACATAACCGGTGCTTGTGTACCTTGCAGCCCGGTACAATGTCACACCCCAGCTCATCTACACCATCTACACACATCACTACATCATCACAGGTCCACTGAGATCGGACTGCTGTGTTGGGATGAGTCACGTGCTCGTTCATCACCGTGCAGTTCACAACGTTAACACTGGAACAGTTCATCTGGTCAGTGTAACCATCACACTGGATGTGGAACAGCTCCTCTGACAGGGGCTGATGACACCGGTACAAGTCTGATACAAAGATCTGTTTCTTCGCTTCCCCTGCTTTGAAGCTTATTCCCAGTTTTGCACACTGGAAGCCGGTCAGATCATCACAGTCCTGCTCGTCTGCACCGTCAGCACAGTGCTGAATACCGTCACACTGGTAAATGGTATTGAACCACCCCATAATTTCTGGGTTAACACTGGGGTGACAGTAAAGACCAAAGTCATGGCCACAGTTAACCTCGTCTGACCCATCCGTGCAGTGGGGTCTACTGTCGCACATTAACCATCTTGGGATCCATCCTTGGTCCCTAGGATTACTATCAGGGTAGGTTGAAGTAAGGCGGGTGCAGTGATGGTACATTTGTCCTGCGCAGATATCTTCAGCTTCATCCGCCTCTGAGATGCATTGCGCGTAACCATTACAGAGCGCGTAGGAGGACACTGTTTGGATGGGAGTGGTGATGTGCGCGAGACCGCGATCAAATATAGGGCAGATAACCGTGTGACATTTACCATCTCTGTTGTCTACTCCTTCACACCCACAAGCCTGGTAGTGCTCCTTGTGTCCGACAGGTTCACAGACATCAGAGAACACACAGCCAGTAGGTCCGCTGGCAGCACCCTTGGGTACCACATACCTGTAGAACTGGTTAGGATTACTCATACACTCGTACACTTTCATATTTCCTATGTAACAAGTCCTTCTCCTGTACCCATCTTCCACCGTGTAACTACAGTCACTTAGCTGGGATCCGCAGGTTATCTTCAGTCTGTTCATTGTGTGACACTCAGTAACATTGTCGTACACCTCAACCTCGCAGTCCTCTGGGAACCTGCCAAAGAGAGGACACTCCTTCACCAAAACCCGGCTGTAGAAAGGTTCGTTGAAAGGAGGATCTACCACGTGATAGTAACCATACTCCATGTTCAGTAAGGTTCTGCACGCTGCACGTGCAAGTCTCTCAGAGAGATAAGGGGTGTCCACCTCGTACCACACCCCATCTACTTGTACTTCTACTGTGTGGTTATCTACTAGGCGCACATCTTCTTTAGATATAGTAGCGGGGTTTACTAGCAGAGAGCTTGGAGCGAGCAACCACACCAACAACAGCATAGCTAGGGAGTCTGATAGCGAGAGTTTTAATGGACTACTACTGTTAAAATCACAAATAATTGTTTGTTCGATAAAGCTACGTTATAACCACAGATAATTGAAGCTGAATATACATACAATGATTGAATGTTCACAAGAGAACAGACGTTTACAAAAGAAAAGAAGATAGTTTTACAGTTAACGTCTAATGAACCGAAGTGTAACAGCTGCTCAACCACACCTCATGTAACAGAGGTGATACAAGTTGTATTTCCCTCGCAGAGAGGTGGGCACTCTGCTATACTGCTCTACTCGGACCAGAGAGTGAACACTAGTCACTGAGTGGCTAGTGTCACTGAGTGGCAAGTGTTTAGTCAGTCGGAGGAGTTACAAAGCAGAAGTCCACGTGAATAACTGCAGGTGTTGTGCTGTAGACATCTAGAAAACGATATACACACCACCGCGGAAATATTGTTAAATATAGGTTCAGTGTTTAGATAAACTTACTTCCTTCTGCAAAAAGTGTGGCACTTTTAGTCGAAATAACACAGGAGAACACAGTTATAGAACTCACTAACTTAGCAACTACAATTCTTACAGGTTGTAATCCAATGTATCCTAGCTACTTCAGCTAGTGAGTTATGTCCAATTTAAGGTTATAAAGACTGAATCTGGAGGAGTCATTTTAGGGCCTACGAAATAATTTCCACTAGTATTTTGTCGAAATGAACATTCGACACCCTTTGAACATCCTCGATTTGCTTGAATCTAAAAATTGGCGAGTTGGAGGCCAGTCTTACAGGTTCTAATGATCCGACGTCACTGATCTACTTCAGCTATATTATAGTGAGTTATGACTATGTCCAATTTAAGGTTAAGACTGGATCTGGAGGAGTCATTTTAGGGCCTAAGAAATAATTTCCACCGGTATTTTGTCGAGCTGAACATCCTACACCCTTTGATCATCCTCGATTTGCTTAGATCTAAAAATTGGCGAGCTGGAGGCCAGTCTTACAGGTTCTAATCCGACATATCAGAGCTACTTCAGCTAGTGAGTTATGTCCAATCTAAGATAGTCAATACAATAAGTTATTTTTACTAAATCGGCTAAAAGATCGTTAAAAGTTCGGTAATTACTTTTTCAAGTTTGTGGAGTGCATTTTCCCCAACAATGGGAAAATATTAACTACACTCAACATTTAAAAATTACTATATTCCGTGAATATTCCTTTCTCAGATAAATGCACTGTGAATGAGCCGGGAGCATTTTATTTTGGTAACGATCGATGTAAAACCAGACTTAATCTTCAAAGCTGGGGATGTTCGGTAAGATCGAGAGCTATTTTCTGTTGTTTTTTGCACACATCGGATTTGAATAAAGATTCCGAAAGCATTGCCAGCTGATTTAATTTTTATGTTTTCTATTCTAACTTTAAGATAGGACTTGTAAATCTCATTTCGTCCGAAAAAACTTTAAAATTCCTAAATCTTCGTTGAGTCATATATATTAATATAGATATCGTTATATTGAAAGTATAGTGATACTGATTAAGTTATGAAATAAACGTAGCTGGATTTCAGAAAGGTTACACTCATACAAACGGAGGGCTATCAGACTACACATATTGTAACCCTAACGGGGAGTGGAAAAATCAGAAACTTCATTGTGCAAGTAAGAATTTTACCAGTCCGATCGGACTGAAAATTATCGAATAAAGCTAGATTTTTCTGTCATAACTTATTCAGTACGCTGTGAGTGATTATGAATAATCTATGATACGTCTAGACTCTTGAACCTGGACTAGAATCTAAACCACATTTCCTCCACAGAGGCCTGCACGGACCCGGGCGTTGTGACAAACGCCACGATATCAGGAGACACAACCTTCAACTACTACACCTCCCTCAAATACTCCTGTAAAACTGGGAACTATCTGAACGGTTCTGAAACGCTATACTGTGAGCATACAGGAAACTGGAATGCTTCCCTTCCTACCTGTAATTACGGTAAGATATTAGGCAGAGCCAATGTTTATCAGTACTTTGGAAATGTTCATCACACAATCTGTTTAGATGAAATTTTGCTGATGTAGTAATTCATTTTCATTTTTCTATTTTTACCTTTCCTGCTGATATTAATTGTTTGACCTTCAGTGCGATGTGGCGATCCACCGAAAATAAACAACTCAACAGTTACGGTGCCTACTGATCCTGACTATGGCAAACAGATTACCTATACGTAAGAAAGATTATGTTAAATTATTCACTTATCCATTACATTCGAGAAACCGTTTATGCGCAGTTCATACGCTCCAAGATGGATATAATCTCATATTGTGGAAGTTGAAAGACTCTTAACTTTTAAATCACCGAAAAAGTTTAAATTCAGAAGTCGCGTATCTTTAAAAATGAAATGGTACGTATTAAACAGATGTGACGAGGGGTTCGTGACCAGGAACCCTGTAGCAACTTGTGGTAAACAAGGTACGTGGGAGGGTGTTGAGACTCGGTGTGACATTGTTAACTGTACCAAACCGGCTGATGTTCAGAACGGTTCTTTCGACAACTTGGGATCGACTGTGAGTAACGAGTTTATTTGTTACCTTTGGAGTTATCAAGGCTGTATCTGGTATCAACATGCTAATTCAAATTGCTGAGGAGTCCTTATTCATCACTTTATGTAATACATTTAATTGTCATGTTCGTCCTTAATTGATTAAATTTCAGAGTTTATTCCCATTCAAAACCAAAGTTGATGTCAGTTGTGACAGAGGCTTCAAAATAGACGGCTCGTCTTCGATATCCTGTAGATCTAACGGGACCTGGTCTCAAACATCTTGTACTCGAATCGGTAAGCATTCTATAATATCAAATTCAAAATCTAATCTAACTTGGTCCAAAAAGTGAAGTATAAACCTTATTGACCGAGACATCAGAAATATGTTTTCAGAGTGTCCTCAACCTGCTGCAGTTCCTGATGGAGGTTCCAATTACACTGCTCCAATTCACGTCGATGGAAGGGTTAAGTTTACCTGCAGTAAAGGATTCCAATTAAATGGTTAGCGAATTGATCGCGTATTTGAGCGATTAACATTAATAGAGAATCTTTTATACCACTAGTCAGAACTACATAATCTTACTATATATAAAGCGAGACGATATATATATATAATAATAATAATATATGTTGGCAGAGCTTCAGTTGTTTTTTGAGCGGTCTTCATATCCTACTGATATGGTGAGAGAGGTCATCAGTGATGTCAGATCGATACCAAGAACTTTACAGTACAAGGCAAAGGATCAGGGTCCCCCTTCTTTCACACCATGGATTGTTACATTCGGTGCGGGCTATGAGGAAACCAAGGAAAAGGCTAAAGAGGCCAGTAACATCATCTCAAATAGCCGTACATGGAGCAGTGAGAACCCTGAGAGGATCCCTAAACTCCAAGTGGTGACCAGGCGAGCCCCTAACTTAAAGGACACTTTATTCAAGAGAAAGAAGCTTGCCTTAGGTTCAGAGTCAAGAACAACTGACCCATGCACCAAACCTGGTGAGAAGAAGAAAGGTAGACCCTGCCAAACTTGTCACCTTGTTAGTGGCAATTCCATGGTCTCCAATAATGGACACTCGGTCAGAACTCAAGGTGGTAACTGTAAGACACGCAACATTGTGTACGGCGCGACGTGCAAACTTTGTACTGTTAATAACGTATACGTGGGAAAAACAGTCACCAGCCTCAGCCAACGTGTGAATGGTCATCGCAGTAAATATTATGAGATTTTAGAGGCGAGTAGTAAGGGGAATGTTGAGAGCCACAGAGATTTTGATGACGAGAATGTTTTAGGGGCACATCTTTTTTCAGTTCATAATTTGAGGGAGAGATCTGATTTCAATGAAAGTTTCCAATTTGATATTTTGTGTTCTACATCCCCAGATAATATTAGAAAGTCAGAACAGTTTTATATTAACAAATTGAAGACACTTAATCCGTTTGGCCTGAACAATGTGAATTCCGTTTCTGGAAGCTAATTTTTCATGGTGTCCCGAATTTTATTTTTAAATCCTCCATTTTTTGTTTATATATGCAGTCTATCATTTTTTGAATTGCGTCTTTTTGATTTAATGAACCACTGCAGACTCCACATTATTATAGTATATGCCATTAATTTTGTTCCGATTTTAAACTATTCCATTTTGACGAGATGCTAAATTAATTAATTAATTTTTTGAGACTTTACTACATTTTTGATGAGAATTTTTGACATTTTCAAACTAACCATTGATATTCTCAGATTATGTGACTGATTAAATGCTGAAGATAAAAGAAATATATTCATTTTGCTAAGATTATGTTTGCGTTTCATTGCTCAACAGCTGTTCGAAGGATCAAATTTAAGATGTATATATCCGTGCCATTTTACTGACACCACGGCATCAACTTTAACGCGACTTTCCGCAAAAACCGTAAAACATATACAACTGAAACTTTTTTGACTGGGTCAAATGCTTTAATGGCCTTCAAATCAGCATGAAAAAATAAAAAATTGGCCAAGGAATAATAATTTTATAAGTGCCCAAAATTTGGACTCTCAAGTGGTGTCAAAAACGCGAATTAAATAGGTAATAATTATTTTAGTCTCTCGAGTCTTGACACCACTTTAGGGTTAGACGGGTTCCTGCTAGTATCAGTAAACACTAGAGACATTATAGAGACAACAATATTATTAGAGCACGATCTAGAGTTTTCTTTCGATCCCACCCCAGCAACCTCTTCAGGAAACTCTACTATCCAATGCACGGAGAACGGGACGTGGTCGTCGCAGAATCCCGTCTGTGATGAGATGTTTTGCCCTGATGTTGGTTCTCCAGATCATGGCACAGTTTCACTCTCCGTCACTCAGGGGACTGATATTTGTAATGGAACTGTGGCTACAGTTAGTTGCAACAATGGGTTTACTTATAATTCAACCGAGAACGATATTACCTGTCTGTACGGTGAGCATATTTACATTTTCCAACAATAATGAAGAACATAATTTTGAGAATGAAAGCTTACATTATTCATGAAATTTTAACTAAAGAAATTGTGTCACTCAACTATGTTATTCTCCGATTAAGGTTTGTGGGATAAGAAAGTGGGGGAGTGTCAACCAAACAACTGCAGTACACCAACAATCAACCATGGCAACTTCGATCAGGTTCTTGGTCTCTATACTAACGGTTCTGTGGTTTCAGCCAAATGTGATCACAATTATGAACTCATTGGTAAGCACGTCGAGGAAAATATAATAAAATGTGAACAGTTTGCCGTTTTGTTCCCTCTATTTCGATTATTTATTGAGTTCTTTCAACAACCAAAGCTGAAAAGACCCAAATAAAACATTAAGTTTGTTCTTCTCAGGAAGTGACAATATCACGTGTTTACTTGGGAATTGGACCGACATTCCAACTTGCGTGTTAACATATTGTGATAGTCCGACTATAGGCCCCAACCAACTACCCATCAGCTCTCCCACATATCTTGTAAGTTATGGCTATGCAATTGCAAGCTATGTTCGGTGATTTCTCAAGTCAAGCTTCAATTTCAATTTGAAATAACAAGTTTATCCAAGTGAAGGTCCTTGGCTATATGCCATATTTTCAGGTTGGTACAACTTACAACATTACTTGTGAGTCGAAGTATGAGGGAATTGTAAACGCTTCATGCAATGGTACTGGACAATGGGAATTTTATGGGGTCTGCGACAAAATAGGTTATTTAATAATTAGTTGCACTGTCAATCTAAAAAATGTTAGTGTTTGATAACCCTCCTCAATCTTCGATATCTTATCATGACAATTGTGTTCAGCATTTAATCATTTAACATTTACAGAGTGTCCAGTTCCTCTATCAATTTCTAACGGTATTTTTAACTTCACTGGAAACCAATCATTTGTGGACGACGTAATATTATTTAACTGCTCCAGTGGATACAGCCTTAAAGGTAAGCGATGCCTATAAGAAAAGTTGTATCATAATCAATTAGCACTATTATAATTTCTCCTTAAAAGTAAACCAGATTCTTAACTTCCGTCCTTTGTACGCAAGCATTGACGATAACCTATTTACTTATTTAAGGTACGTATAACGTAGACGATAGTTGTCAAAACGTAGCTACAGTAGTAAATAGTTGAACAAAGATAATAAATGCACCAACCTCAGGTAGCCCCACTATCCAATGTCTCGAGTCTGGTGACTGGTCTACAGTTCAGCCTACTTGCGAGGAGATATTCTGCTTACCTTTAACTGACCCGCTTCACGGACAAGTTGAATACACAACCGGTACAGGAGTGAACATTACCAACGGAACACAGGCTTCTGTATCCTGTCAAAATGGATACTACTACAACCAAACGAGTGGAAATGCAGATACACTGTGTATTTATGGTATATACATTTGTCATTTCGCAATGGAGGGGGGAGGGGGGCTGGAGCCGAAACTGAAAGATCAATGCTATAAATTGGATGGTCAGATGATTCAATAACAAAAAAGTATTGGAGCTTATTTGACTATTTCAGGAACATGGACTATCACACTCGATGGCTGCCTGCCAAACAACTGCTCAGCACCCCAGATCGCTGATGGATCTGTTGATATTGACTTGCCAACATACACCAATGGAACTTCTTTATTAATCACTTGTGACCACAACTATAAGAATTCAGGTATAATATGAAAGTCGTAGAGTTCATATTTTGATCGAGTAAATTTTGTTGAATTAAGTACTAAAATCCGTGGTTACCTAAGAAGCAGCCCAACGCGGTTAAATTAAAGTATTTCAGGTCCCCAGAATGTTTCATGTTTGCTTGGCAATTGGAGCACTCTTCCAGTCTGTGAATTAACTTATTGTGATAAACCCAATATCATAGATCATCAGAAACCTTTCCAGAACAGCACCTTTAACGTGAGTATGTTTTTCCTTTTACAGAAGTTCAGTGTAGTACACAAGTATTCTTTCGTAGCACTTCCCTCTAAACAAGCTTTCCATATGACATTTGGATGTAAATCACACTAATTGTGCTTTAATCTGTACAGGTGAACACAACTTACCATAGTACCTGCCTGACTGGGTACGAAGGGAACTTAACTGTTCATTGCAATGAGACTGGCTTCTGGGAATACGATGGAACCTGCTCCTTGGTTGATTGCCCTGATCCTGATTTCATCCCATTCTCAAATCAAACTCAGTCAACTGTGATTTATCATTGGAATGACACTATAACATTAAGGTAAGTTTATTTCTAAGTTTGCTGTACAACTCATAATGTATAGACATCCACCCTAGTTAGTAAAAAGTTTAACGATTTGAAATGCTCTTCTGAATCCCTACTGGTAACTGGAAGACAATAATTTCAGTTGCATGAATGGAAGTGATTTAAACGGAAACAGTACTGTAAAATGTCAGGATGACGGCTCCTGGACAAAGTATCCGCAGTGTTTGAGGAAATGTGACTCCCCACAAATAGCAAACAGTTTTCTTAATGTGACAGATGCGTATGCTTATGCGAGTTCAGATGCCTTAAACGTGACGTGCAATGACAATGCGAAGCTCTATGGCAACGCTTCCATCACCTGTAGCAACGGAACTTGGTCAGACTTGCCTACCTGTCAGATATACAGATGTTACTCTCCTTCAGTAGGATCACATGCTAACATAGAGGATGTTACTGAGTATTTAATAAACTCAGCTTATAACGTTACATGTGACAAAGGATATGATGGTAGTGTTACAGCACAATGTGAAAGTGATGGTAACTGGAATATAACAGGGTTTTGTAGCATTAAAACTTGTCCCAACCCAATGGAAATTCCAAATTCAAAAGATGTTTACAACACGTCGATTGCCTACAGTTGGAATGACACTTTCACTTATAGGTTAGCAATGAATTCCATGATTGCCCGTTAATTCGTTTAACAGTTTGAGTTATGTGCTATGTATGTTTTGTGTTCTCATTATCAATTTAATTTGTTTATTAACAAATTTCAGTTGCCTGAACGGAAGTGATATGTATGGAAACGAAATTATTGAGTGCCAGCACAACGGTGCTTGGACAAATCCTCCCCAGTGTCTTCAAAGATGTTCTCTACCTGATATAGTAAATAGTAACCTGACAATGAACTCAACAAGTTTTGCAAATAGCAGTATGATAAACGTGACGTGCAATGAAAATTCTTTCCTGCACTATGGAAACGGATCCATCACCTGTAGCAACGGAACTTGGTCACATTTGCCTTCCTGTCTAATATACAAATGTTATAAACCTTCGGATGTAGGGTTGCATGCTAACATAGAAGATAAAACTCAATATTATATAAACACAAATTATAGTGTTACGTGTGACAAGGGCTATGATGGAAACGTTACAGCAGAATGTAAAATTGATGGTAACTGGAATATCACAGGATTTTGTAGCGTTCAAACATGTTCCAATCCTATTGAGATTGATAATTCGGAAGATGTCTACAATACCTCGATAACCTACAGTTGGAATGATACTTTTACTTATAAGTAAGTTTATATCGAAGACTCTGTATGAATAAAATTAAACAAATTTGCATGAATATATATTTGATTGTATCATAATTAAAATAATGAAAACGCTATTCCCCAACGAAATATATTTCAGTTGCCTGAACGGAAGTGATATGTATGGAAACGAAACTATTGAATGTCAGCATGATGGTACCTGGACAAATCCTCCCCAGTGTCTTCAGAGATGTTCTCTACCTGATATAGCAAACAGTAACCTGACGATGAACTCCACAGGTTTTGCAAATAGCAGTATGATAAACGTGACATGCAATGAAAATGCGAAACTCCAAGGCAACGCATCCATCACCTGTAGCAACGGAACTTGGTCAGACTTACCTACCTGTCAGATATACAGATGTTACACTCCTTCAGTAAGATCACATGCTAACATAGAGGATGTTACTGAGTATTTAATAAACTCAGCTTATAACGTTACATGTGACAAAGGTTATGAAGGTAGTGTTACAGCACAATGTGAAAGTGATGGGAATTGGAATATAACAGGCTTCTGTGGAATTCAAACATGTCCCAACCCTATTGAGATCAGTAACTCGAAAGATGTCTACAACACCTCGATTGGCTACAGTTGGAATGATACTTTCACTTATAGGTTAGTGCGGTAGTCAACAATCCATTCATTCGAAGTAGTATGAAGTGAATTTTTGCAAATAGGAAAATTGTTATGATTGGTTTATGATCTCATACATTTTTCATTTAGTTGCCTGAACGGAAGTGATATGTATGGAAACGAAACTATCAAATGTCAGCATGATGGTACTTGGACAAATCCTCCCCAGTGTCTTCAGAGATGTTCTCAACCTGATATAGCAAACAGTAACCTGACAATAAACTCCACAAGTTTTTCAAATAGCAGTATGATAAACGTGACATGCAATGACAATGCAAAACTCCAAGGCAACGCATCCATCACCTGTAGCAACGGAACTTGGTCAGACTTGCCTGCCTGTCAGATATACAGATGTTACTCTCCTTCAGTAGGATCACATGCTAACATAGAGGATGTTACTGAGTATTTAATAAACTCAGCTTATAACGTTACATGTGGCAAAGGATATGATGGTAGTGTTACAGCACAATGTGAAAGTGATGGGAATTGGAATATAACAGGCGTCTGTGGTATTCAGACATGTCCCAACCCTATTGAGATCAGTAACTCGAAAGATATCTACAACACCTCAATTAGCTACAGTTGGAATGATACTTTCGCCTATAGGTAAGGTTTTTCAATAAATTATTCGTGCATTCAAGGTCATATAATGCTCCTGTGTGCTCTTGGATTCTTCAAAAAGGAAAATTGTAGCTTGGTTCTTAAAACTAATTCATAGTTCCCTCAGTTGCCTGAACGGAAGTGATATGCATGGAAACGAAACTATTGAGTGTCAGCATAATGGTACCTGGACAAATCCTCCCCAGTGTCTTCAGAGATGTTCTCAACCTGATATAGCAAATAGTAACCTGACAATGAACTCCACAAGTTTTGCAAATAGCAGTATGATAAACGTGACGTGCAATAAAAATGCGAAGCTCCAGGGAAACGCATCCATCACCTGTAGCAACGGAACTTGGTCAGACTTGCCTACTTGTCAGATATACAGATGTTACACTCCTTCAGTAGGATCACATGCTAACATAGAGGATGTTACTGAGTATATTATAAACTCTACTTACAATGTTACTTGTGACAAGGGTTATGATGGAACTGTTACAGCAGATGTAAAAGTGATGGTAACTGGAATATAACAGGCGTCTGTGGAATTCAAACATGTCCCAACCCTATTGAGATCAGTAACTCGAAAGATGTCTACAACACCTCGATTGGCTACAGTTGGAATGATACTTTCACTTATAGGTTAGTGCGGTAGTCAACAATCCATTCATTCGAAGTATTATGAAGTGAATTTTTGCAAATAGGAAAATTGCTATGATTGGTTTATGATCTCATACATTTTTCATTTAGTTGCCTGAACGGAAGTGATATGTATGGAAACGAAACTATCAAATGTCAGCATGATGGTACTTGGACAAATCCTCCCCAGTGTCTTCAGAGATGTTCTCTACCTGATATAGCAAACAGTAACCTGACGATGAACTCCACAGGTTTTGCAAATAGCAGTATGATAAACGTGACATGCAATGAAAATGCGAAACTCCAAGGCAACGCATCCATCACCTGTAGCAACGGAACTTGGTCAGACTTACCTACCTGTCAGATATACAGATGTTACACTCCTTCAGTAAGATCACATGCTAACATAGAGGATGTTACTGAGTATTTAATAAACTCAGCTTATAACGTTACATGTGACAAAGGTTATGAAGGTAGTGTTACAGCACAATGTGAAAGTGATGGGAATTGGAATATAACAGGCTTCTGTGGAATTCAAACATGTCCCAACCCTATTGAGATCAGTAACTCGAAAGATGTCTACAACACCTCGATTGGCTACAGTTGGAATGATACTTTCACTTATAGGTTAGTGCGGTAGTCAACAATCCATTCATTCGAAGTAGTATGAAGTGAATTTTTGCAAATAGGAAAATAGCTATGATTGGTTTATGATCTCATACATTTTTCATTTAGTTGCCTGAACGGAAGTGATATGTATGGAAACGAAACTATCAAATGTCAGCATGATGGTACTTGGACAAATCCTCCCCAGTGTCTTCAGAGATGTTCTCTACCTGATATAGCAAACAGTAACCTGACAATAAACTCCACAAGTTTTGCAAATAGCAGTATGATAAACGTGACATGCAATGACAATGCAAAACTCCAAGGCAACGCATCCATCACCTGTAGCAACGGAACTTGGTCAGACTTGCCTGCCTGTCAGATATACAGATGTTACACTCCTTCAGTAGGATCACATGCTAACATAGAGGATGTTACTAAGTATTTAATAAACTTAGCTTATAACGTTACATGTGACAAAGGTTATGATGGAACTGTTACAGCACAATGTGAAAGTGATGGTAACTGGAATATAACAGGCGTCTGTGGTATTCAGACATGTCCCAACCCTATTGAGATCAGTAACTCGAAAGATATCTACAACACCTCGATTAGCTACAGTTGGAATGATACTTTCGCCTATAGGTAAGGTTTTTCAATAAATTATTCGTGCATTCAAGGTCATATAATGCTCCTGTGTGCTCTTGGATTCTTCAAAAAGGAAAATTGTAGCTTGGTTCTTAAAACTAATTCATAGTTTCCTCAGTTGCCTGAACGGAAGTGATATGTATGGAAACGAAACTATTGAGTGTCAGCACAATGGTACCTGGACAAATCCTCCCCAGTGTCTTCAAAGATGTTCTCTACCTGATATAGCAAATAGTAACCTGACAATGAACTCCACAAGTTTTGCAAATAGCAGTATGATAAACGTGACATGCAATGACAATGCAAAACTCCAAGACAACGCATCCATCACCTGTAGCAACGGAACTTGGTCAGACTTGCCTGCCTGTCAGATATACAGATGTTACACTCCTTCAGTAGGATCACATGCTAACATAGAGGATGTTACTGAGTATTTAATAAACTCAGCTTATAACGTTACATGTGACAAAGGATATGATGGTAGTGTTACAGCACAATGTGAAAGTGATGGGAATTGGAATATAACAGGCGTCTGTGGTATTCAGACATGTCCCGACCCTATTGAGATCAGTAACTCGAAAGATGTCTACAACACCTCGATTGGCTACAGTTGGAATGATACTTTCACTTATAGGTTAGTGCGGTAGTCAACAATCCATTCATTCGAAGTATTATGAAGTGAATTTTTGCAAATAGGAAAATTGCTATGATTGGTTTATGATCTCATACATTTTTCATTTAGTTGCCTGAACGGAAGTGATATGTATGGAAACGAAACTATCAAATGTCAGCATGATGGTACTTGGACAAATCCTCCCCAGTGTCTTCAGAGATGTTCTCTACCTGATATAGCAAACAGTAACCTGACAATAAACTCCACAAGTTTTGCAAATAGCAGTATGATAAACGTGACGTGCAATGACAATGCAAAACTCCAAGGCAACGCATCCATCACCTGTAGCAACGGAACTTGGTCAGACTTGCCTGCCTGTCAGATATACAGATGTTACACTCCTTCAGTAGGATCACATGCTAACATAGAGGATGTTACTGAGTATTTGATAAACTCAGCTTATAACGTTACATGTGACAAAGGATATGATGGTAGTGTTAAAGCACAATGTGAAAGTGATGGGAATTGGAATATAACAGGCGTCTGTGGTATTCAGACATGTCCCAACCCTATTGAGATCAGTAACTCGAAAGATATCTACAACACCTCAATTAGCTACAGTTGGAATGATACTTTCGCCTATAGGTAAGGTTTTTCAATAAATTATTCGTGCATTCAAGGTCATATAATGCTCCTGTGTGCTCTTGCATTCTTCAAAAAGGAAAATTGTAGCTTGGTTCTTAAAACTAATTCATAATTCCCTCAGTTGCCTGAACGGAAGTGATATGTATGGAAACGAAACTATTGAGTGTCAGCACAATGGTACCTGGACAAATCCTCCCCAGTGTCTTCAAAGATGTTCTCTACCTGATATAGCAAATAGTAACCTGACAATGAACTCCACAAGTTTTGCAAATAGCAGTATGATAAACGTGACGTGCAATAAAAATGCGAAGCTCCAGGGAAACGCATCCATCACCTGTAGCAACGGAACTTGGTCAGACTTGCCTACCTGTCAGATATACAGATGTTACACTCCTTCAGTAGGATCACATGCTAACATAGAGGATGTTACTGAGTATTTAATAAACTCTACTTACAATGTTACCTGTGAGAAGGGATATGATGGAACTGTTACAGCAGAATGTGAAAGTGATGGGAATTGGAATATAACTGGCATCTGTGGTATTCAAACATGTCCCAATCCTTTGCACATCTCAAATTCAGAAGATAACTACGATTTGTCTAAAAACTACAGTTGGAATGATACGTTTGTCTACAGGTAATTTTTGCTTCATTTATTGACACTTTAGACACTTCGGTAATGAGAAAGATTGAATTTAAAAGCCTCTCCATAATCGTTGTCAATAATAAAACCTTTTCAGATGTTTAAATGGAAGCGATATGGATGGAGCTGCCTTAATCATATGTCAGCATGATGGATCATGGACAAAGTCACCTAAGTGTCTTAAAAGATGTGCCATTCCTACTTTGGACAACGTTAATTTGACATCCATTACTCATTCGAGCTTTACTGACGGATCCACTGTGACAGTAACCTGTGTTGATAATGCAAATCTCATCGGAAACAGCACCATAACCTGTTATAACGGCACATGGACCAATCCACCTGAATGTAAAATCTTCAAATGTGATCCACCCTCTTTAAAGCAGCACATCACTATAGAAACGGTTGCCATCTACCAAGTGAACACCTCCTATGACCTAAAGTGTGAAATGGGCTACCATAAAGATACTGATCTATCACTATTAGCACGTTGTAATGTGGAGGGAGAATGGGAGATGGAGGGGACTTGTTTCATTGATTCATGTGGACTTGCTCCTGATGTTCCCTACTCGTCACACACTGGAAGTTCCTATCTTTATCATGATTACTACTATAACGATACCCTCTTTTACACGTAAGTCTACTGCTTCCAGATTAAATTAGGGGCTGTATTGAATAATCCATCTCGTTTTTTAATCATGTAATACTAATTCCTATTATTTAAATATCAAATATGGATAACCATATGCACAAGAAAATGTTTTCCAACCACAAAATTCTCCTTCACAGATGCAGCAACATCACTGAAATGGATGGTGTTAGTAAGGTTAGTTGTCAAGCTGGTGGCACTTGGACCTCTCCACCAGTATGTGTGAGGCTATGTCTGGACACTCCACCAGCTTTAGTTCATGGAGAATACTCAGCCACTGGGAATAGACTCAATGATACAGTGGCTTACACTTGTGATACTGGATACACCATCGCAGAGAACGAGACTGATGGTAGGTTGAAACTTGAAGATAATCATTAAAGGAATTCTTAGGTATAAAGCATAAGATTACAATATGTTATTCAGTGTTTTCTTAAAATGAATCTTTCAAAAACAGAAAGCTCAACGTTTTTCAGTGCTACGTTGTGCTGAATCTTATGACTGGGAACCCAGACATCCTGGAAACTGTTCTAGAAAGCTTTGTGGATATCTTTCTGAAGTGAAGAACGGGGAAATCGTTGATAACAAAATTAACCTTTATTATAACGATTCAGCTTCCTATCAATGTAACTTCGGGTAAGTTTATGATGGCGTTTTTGTCTCATTCATTCTTAACCATACCTGACTATTCTATTTGTATTTAGAATCTGCTTAAACTATAGTTTTTTATCTTCAGTTACCGAATGGACGGAAAATCCGTGGTCACATGTCTCGCTACTGGCTATCTATCGGAGACCCCTTCGTGCGTATTTGATGGTAAGATCTCAGTCTTTACAGCTTGCTGCTTTGATAAAAGTCTCTATGATTGGTTCACCAGTATGTAGTAGGGGCTGCTGCAAACCTACATTGCACAATATCGTGTCTATTACAGGTTGCAGAGTACCTAAAGTAAAGAATGGTGTCTGGTTGGGAGAGGAAGCACCTGGAGAACCTCTGGAGATGCAGTGTGATGACGGGTATCTTCAAACTCTCGGAATCATAAGTAAATAAACCTGCACATTGTAAAGTTTAATCGTTGAATTATAAGCAAATAAACCTGCATATTGTAAACTTTACTCTTGGAATCATAAGTAAATTAACCTGCATATTGTAAACTTTACTCTTGGAATCATAAGTAAATCAACCTGCACATTGTAAACTTTACTCTTTAAACATAATTATGTAGGAGGATTGTCATACAACCAACAAAATATTTGTGTAGATGACAGGGTCCGGTTGACCGGTCATGAAGTTAATCAACAATGCAAATAATGAGAGTTAAAACTATATCTATTGTCTTCCTTCTGGATCTGTAAAATCCTTATCTTTCTTCAGGTATTATCTGTTCCTCTGCTGACAGAGAGTTCGAAAACATTGCAGAATGTGTAAAAGAATCAAAGAGTGGCTTTGTATCAGCTTTGACAAGTACGTACAATTTCTTATTTTGAAGTAATCCTTGTAGCAATATCTCATTCTGGGGTAAAGCAATATTATCTTCTGAGACGATTGAATTTGTACTATAACAGAGCTTATTTATACAGATCGCATTCTAACTTACACCAATCTAAGGTTCTACTGGAATAAGCATAACAAGCGTCATTATCGTCGTCTTTACTGCGTGTTTGGTTGGGAGTGTTTACATTTTCACAAAGAAAAAAGTGGCTGATCCTAGCATGGGTTTGATAATTGTTTGTCAAACAACGTGATAATTGAATTCAATTGTGATTTTATATCGTTCCACGTCTTAATTAATTTTCAACTTGTTGTATGATTCTTGCAGTTTCTTTCTGTGAAAATTTATAATCTCTGTATAGTTCATATTACACTGATATATTTCCGAAATTTATATTTTACAATATAAGAACGACTTGTTCCTGCTTCGATATGAGAACATAATAACATTGTTTCTTTGTTTCAGGTAACGGAGGTCATCCTAAAAATGGGATACCAATGAGTTTTGTTAACCACGGCTGTGATGTAGAGGATCTAGTCAATGAAAAAAGGTTAGTTTCAATGAAAGGTATGTGCTCTGTAGTTTGTAGTGACCGAAATTATTCTAACCCCAGTGGTTATATTTGCTTAAATATTGTGAATTCAATTGTTGATAATTTCTATAGATTATTATTTTTACAGGGATAGGATGCAGTCGATAATTTTTATTAAGAATGCCGAAAACTTAACAATCTACGGGAATGAAGGACATCCTACTTCAACACCATCCGCTTCAACTGTAAAGTTGAATCCCCTATTTGAGGATAAATCTCAGGTTTCCTCTCATTCAATTGGCGATGCTGCAATTGATAGAACACCAGGTTAAATAAAACCTGTTCTTGTAATTGATCTGCATCTTTTGGTGCTGCATCTGTTGTGTTTTTTTCGTTGGACTACCCAGTAAAATGCTTCATAGATTTGTTACACCTTTAAAGAAACAATTAGAAAAGAGTCCAATTGTCCAGTCTCTCATGTAAGGTATGTCTTTCAGGAAGGAAGTGGGTAAAGCCGACACCTTTAGCTCTACCTGAGGGATATAAACCCCACCTTCCAGACTTAGATAGTATGTTTATGGTAGAGGACTCCTGAAATTCTTCATTGATCGATTGCTTAATTGACATTTAGGTAGGATATAGTTATAACTGGATGCTTCGACCGGTTATTCAGAGTGACCCCGAAGAATTGACAAAAGATATATGTCACTCAAGCAGGATTATTTCTGTTTTAGAGTTATGTTAATGCCATCGCTATGTTAGCAGCCAAGGCATAGTTTTAGTTTTAATCTTTGTAAATTTGTTGTTTTTATGTAGCTAATGATTCATTTCTGCGATGTTTACGATTACACTTTTATTTTTTTACTATTTATACTCGAAAATGATCATAATCACATTTCATTATTTTTCTAAATTCCGCTTTTCAAATTTAACTAAACGTTAACCTATATGATTTATTAGATACCTGATGTAATTTCTTTACTATTATGTCATAGAAAGATTTTATCAAAGAATTGTTTAATTCAATTATACATTAAAAAATTTGTAACAAAACCATAACATACAAATAATTCGTCCAAACTGATCCAAATCGGCGTCATCTCCCGAACATTACTTGTTTATTCCTAAAGTTAATCTGTCCTAACTGTCTGGTCTTTAAAATCCCTTCGCTCACAAACTTATCCCTAACTCCTCAGAGTATATTCTGAACAATAATAGAGGTCATGATTTCTTCTTGAATCTCGGAGTAAGGCTTATCTCCAGATTCCCTTGTAAGTATCGAGGGGGTACTTTCTCCTCCTGCAAAGCAGCGTTGAAGTGGTCGTCTAGATCTGTTATGTGAAACTTTCTTCCTGCTTTCTGAAATGGGATTTGTCCACTATTGACGTATAGACAGCTAGACAGTATAAATATTTAGACGCTCTTGGTTAAGGTTTTACATTTACGAAATATTACCAAGTTTGTGGAACTTTTAGCTTTCTTTTGATAATGAATTTCGTTAATTTTTTATTTTAAGTTTCAACATCAAACTGAACTATAATATTACAGTTTCTTTGTCTATCAATGTTCTTATCAGCATGAAATATTATGCAAGGGCCTTGAAATATTTTAGATAGACTCCTTGTCACTCACCGCTTGTTCATGCTTGATGAATCTCTCTGGCAAACCGGTCCCAGGATCGTATCCAAAGCCCAAGTTTTCTAGTACCTCTTCAGCCTCGCGCTCCTGCAGTTTCAAGTTTACTTCAAATAAAAATTACAGAGGGTTGATTTTAATTTCTACTTTAATTACGGCACATTAATAATCTATTTACAATTATGATATGGACAATACTTAACAGTCATTACACAGAAATTAACGGCTGAAGATCATACCTCAAACAAAAGTTCCATTTCTGTTTTGTGGCATGAAGTAGCTGGCACCTTGTAGATAGCCGCACCGGACATAAGATCGTAAATACTTTCATTACCATGGTTGATAAACTGCAGCCACGAGTTTTTCATCGTACTCAGGTACTCTGTCAGACTAAAAAAGAGAAAACATTAGCTTCTGATCTCATAGTTTTGAATATTCTGCAGTAGCAAATTATAATTTTAGTATACTTAATTGTCGTTTATCATAGCTGTTTTGTTGTTTCCATCAAATATATGGATGTTCTGATTTTTATTCAGAAACACATCAACATAACGACTTAATATAAGCAAATAAAGTAATCAAAACTTAAACAGTCAGTAAAGTATGCGCTTACTCGTGAAGTGATCCAAGACGAGACGAACCAACTGAACTATCTGAATCTTCCTCATCACTGGAAAAGTGGGAAAGTTAAAAATGTATTAGTTACAAATTATTAGTTTAAAATTTATTAAGTTAAAGATGTATTAATCAAGTTTTGCACTCGATATTAAGTCATATAACACTTAAATATACTTATCTTATCGGTTTAAGTTCAAAATATCGACTGACCTGGTATTAGCTCTTTTTAACTCGAACAGATCTGACCTGCCCTTACTCTCGTCCATTTTTATAACAGATCACTACTGAATGATGTAAATAAATTTAAGCTATTTCGAGGGCAGGTACCCTTGTATTGATTAATTCTAAAATTGACCATTCTTCTTTCATTCGAGAAATTCTAAATAGTTGACGAATTATTCCCACTTTATTCGAAATTTAATCTAAACCTAATCCCAAAAATAGGAATCGTTGTTCCTAGTACAGTTTTACGGCTCCTGACTCGTGCATCTTACGGCCGTTAACTCGTTTAAAAGCCCAAACTACTCAGCGTCAAACTAATAGTACTATAACAGTTAAACAATTATACGAACGTCTTTACATTATTTTGTTAATGACGAGCAACATGGCCGTGCATTTCCACGGAATGAAAATGGCACTGAAAGTTGTGAGCTCTTGGTTCACAGAATCAGAGCTTTACCGAAACATTGAGCACTCTCCCATACACAAATAAAATTGACAATTGAGGTGGAAATTGGAGGAAAGCCCGCGAAAGCACAGGTTACACAAAGATATATTACTGCACTGGTTTGATGTATAGTAGGGCAGATAATCATGAATTAATCATGAAATTAAACGATCTAATGGCGACTGGTAGGCTTATTAATTGTGTTGTTATGCTGTTTATGTGTCATGCCAGGTAACCAGCATATGAATAATAACGCACTCTCCTTGCTAGCATCGGCTGAGATTATAACAAGCTGTAAGATTAGATGAGGAGATGAGGAGATGGCTGACCTCGTGAATCGTGATAAGGGTTATAGGCGAGTAATTCTATATTCTCCATATCTACCAGCTCATATCTTACGAGTATACTCGGTTTTTTCGGGTAATGACATGCAAGATTGGTCATTTAACCATAACAATGGTGTTATATTGTGTCACCCTTTTTAGGTATAATAATGGTGTGATTACCAATAATCAGATCTCAGATCTGTGTTCTGAAGTTGGTTATGATAATGACTTCAGATTACGACTAGGATTACGACTAAGTATAATAAGAGATTATTTCGAAAAGATCACGAATAAACTTTTTACTGCAGAAATCGCGGTTACCTTATTGATATTCATATTAACCTAAAGTGCTGAAGCCTATTAAGTTTTATATCTAAATATCAAATAAATAATATATGTAATTAATAAAATATGTTTAATAAATTGTGTTTATAATTATACTTATGGTACATTGTTATTATATTTATATTTTAGGCTGTAGCCTTATTAGTCCAAAGGAATAAACCTAGCATGCCTTGGTTGCAGCATCGCTTCACTTATAATAGGTGTATATAGGGCCCGATGTAATACTTATAATTGCTACGACCAGTTTACTGGTCAACTGGTGTTTCGGTCTCCCTAATTTTGTTTACACTCGGTCACTTGTCAAGGCATGTAAGATTATTCGGCGAATTTTCTTTGAAATGAAATGATTTATTTGTGTAACAATTTGAAAGTTTATTAAATATATATATAATGACTATACGAATTTATTGCCAAATTCAGATTTTGATCTCCGATTTAATTTTGCTGGTCAAGCTACAATTTTAACAATTGCGAACGAATTTAACCAACCTAGATGCTTATAAAGAGGTTAACAAGGAAGGCTGGGACATTTTTAAACAAAAGTTAAAAGTAGATGGAGGTCCCTAATGGGACACTGTCCTGTAACAATGGCAATATCAAACACCTTACAGTCCAATTTAACAGTGCGCCATTGACCGTCCCGATCATCACGACAACGTCATAACGTTCAGTCAACCCTGAACCACATTGCCAGCCACGTGCTCTACTGATGGCTGGTTCTATACACACAATTGTGCATGGTTATTGCTTTTAGCTGCCCAATAACGCCTCCTATTCTTGGTAAATTGCAATCATATCAAATCGTGTGCGATTGTGCGTGGCCGTGACGTGCCCTGACTGGTGGTTATATATTAATATAGAGGATTCTGGTGAATTAGCTGATATTCCTATTATTATATGAAGTTTAACTTAAACTCTAGTTAGTTAATTAATCAAAAGTCAATTAATGTATTATCAATACATGTACATCGTACAAATATGTGTCTAGATTTGAAGAGTCACTTACGGTTATTACAAATAGACCGGTACTAGATGACCCAGGGAGTCCTGGCATGCAGCTATAGCAGGAGTTTCATTCTGTGGGCACGGTGATAAGGCCTCCATCTTTTTAGTAAGAGGCCAGAAACCGTTCACCAGAACAGAGAGAGAGACTCAAAATATTAGAATTAAAGATAGTTATAAGATTACGGTTCCATCTACAAAAAATTGTAAAGTTCAAAGTTGAAACTTGATCTGCACCATGAAATTGAAATCACACAGATATAAGTCACAATATCAATCTTGACTGGGAGAGATGCAAACAGCAGTATCCCCAATATTTCAATACAATTCGGGAAGGTACACAGCGGGTACACAGCGGGTACTGCCGTAGCTTCATGTTGTAGGATCGGAGCTTTCCCTCAGCACGACGCCTGCCTGACTCTTAACCCCCCACATTCAGAGGTACTCTGACTAGCGTAATAAGAGTCGCTCATTACACGTTTTACAATTAAACATTATACACGTGCGTCTCAATTCAATATGTGAATAATGAGTTGGGATGGCATGTGACTAATGACAATTGTCGTATACAGGGAGTTGGGGATCTGATAATAGTGGTAACATTGAATGCTGGGTTGAGATCTGACAATATTGGTAACATTGAATGCTGGGTTGAGATCTGACAATATTGGTAACATTGAAAGATTGAATGCAGGGAGACAAAATAGTCGTTACAGTTATTATACGGAAAGCGGTTATAACATTAACATCAACAGATCAGTTTGTTACAACACGTGTCGTGTATAACATGCTATCATCATTGTTCTTTATCAAGACTTTAAGTTAAATTTTAAGATCGTTGTTCCGCTTCATGCCCATTTGATTTGATTACTTCAATCGAACAAATCATTGTATCAGACGGCTGTAAGTTATAAATTCTTATTGTTAATGTTATTGATTTGTGACATTAATACGTTCGCGAGTGTTAGAGACAAATTAAAGTTTAATTACAAAGTTACAAGGTACTGTCAAGTGTCAACTGTGAATAAATTTCCAATCTAAAAGTAGACAGCAATCTCGTTGATACGAACGGACCAAACTGTGAATAGCAGCAATTTATATGGGCTGTCTTGGTTGTAAACAGAAAATGGCAAATTGCTCACGAGTTTAATTTTGGCAATTTTTGACATATTAATTATTTTTATTCACAAAAGGGGGATAATGTTTGTTTGTTGCATTAAACCTCAAATTAACTGCAATTAAACGATTTAGTGTGATATGGTGACCTTGTTTACTAAAAAACATTGCTGGTCGTAACTTCAACGTTTATAACAACTGCCAGACAATTAAAAACATGTTAATCTAACCAATATGTACGTCATCAAGTTTAAAGCACCATGAAAATTATATTTATAGTTCTGACATTTAAGAATTTCTAAATACCAATAAAACCTGGTCGTTTAATTGAAAAGTGTTATTTTATATTTTATATGTTTATCCATCGCCCAATAATTGATCTAAGGACTATATTAGTATATAACATATGCACCCCTGGATGCGATCAGGTATTCACGATAAGGTAATTTCTTATTTCACGCGCATTTTGAAAATTTCGCAACAGTCGCCACTGTTTGTAGGTGTGGTTGGCACAACAATCACACCTTGATATTTTCTAGGCTAGTGTGCATCCTGTAAAGAATCGTTGTGGCTATCCATGCAGGTAAAAACGAATTTATCTTAGAGTTAGATTGAAAATTTACTCCAAGGTCACGAAACCGATCAGCGAAAATTTCCAATTTAAAAAACAAATTCATCTTTGTAGGTTGGTAATATGAGCTGTGTTGCAGTTAAACTGTTCGTTTTTAGCTGCATGGATAGCCAGCCACAACTTCACATAGCCATGTGCCTACGCGTACTGCGTGACGCGCTTGTTTCACAAGTAGGATCTTTTGCCGCGACGGCGGTCGCGCGCTACTGCAAGCGAGAGGGCTCTGGTTAGAGCAACCACAACGATTCTTTACAAGATGCACACTACTACTAGCCTAGAAAATATCAAGGTGTGATTGTTGTGCCAACCACACCTACAAGTACAAACAGTGGCGACTGTTGCGAAATTTTCAAAATGTGCGTGATTACCTGATCGCGTCAAGGGGGTGATTTGGATAAAACTAGGGAAATAATTGTACTGAATACAAATTGTAACAAAAACAGCCGATAAAAGAACTTCAAGCTATTTAATAGATAATACAAAAAATGTGCATTACCAAAGAAAACAATGTTTTAGCTTGGAGAAAATTTATCGGAAAAGTAAATTATCATTTTCCTTCGTAACAAGAGCTGCGTTATTGGTTATATAAGCTTCGAAAAGTTAATTGTATTGTATAAAAGTATAGGTGACTTTCAAAATTTCGCATTCGAAAATAAATAACCTTGCATGTTTTTCAAAAAAGTCATGTCTTACACTTAACTCTGCACTCGTCTCATAGTCATATGCAATTAACAACATAGACAAAATTATCAAGAAATCCTAAAGGGTGCTCACGAGGGGATTGATCTTCAAAAGGGTACGTTCTATGTATGTAAAGCTTTTGTTTTAAGAGTTGTGCACTGTTGGCATCTCAGGAATTTTCGATAAATTGTGTAAGACTGTTGTCCCTCAATTCGCCGAGTCTCCTTTGATCGGCAATTATTCAACGAGGGCAAGTAGAAACGATAGCGGTTGCCAATAAGTCTACGGTCTGTTTATGTTCACTTATACAGGGTGGGCCAAAAGTCAGTAGACATACGTTGGCCTTATAATAGCTCCGCCGTGTTTTATATTTGAGAGCTGTTGCTTTGCAGATGGCATACTGTACTTACTGGTTCGAGGATTCCGTCGTCAAAATTTGAAAATTCGAATATTTTAGACCACGCCCATTCAATATTAAAACACCTATATTTTTTTCTCTGAACATGCTGAACGCCTAATAT